TAATTGTATCCGAACGTCTGCGGTCTCTCCGGTGAGTACCGATCGCAAAAGGATAGAAATTATTTTCATTTATTACTTTTTAATAAACGAAAATTGCTCCACCCAGATGAAATTCGAACGTCACGACCTTTAGGTTTAAACGCTCTTACCACTGAGCCACAGAGAGGGTTAACTTAATTTTTTGCTTTATTGAAAAACGCTGAAGTAGTGTCACAACCCGTAAAGGCATGTAAAAAAAAGAATATGTTCTTTACAATTTGGTAAAGAATTTTTAAACATTTCGATGAAAATATCTTCTGTTGAACTTTGCCTCGGGAGGGTTTTAGAAAATATATTTCACGATATTTATCTACCAATGCCGTTAATATCAGTAAGACATCGACATCTTCTGAAACTATAACATATTTTGATTCCAATCCAAATTCATTGTTGTCTCAACAATTAATTGGTCGGAATCGCTTTCCACTTGGCATTTATTGGCTAATTTAATTCTCAACATTTCTATCAAGCGAATTTTATTTTTACTATATCTCAAAAATTTATCTTGAGCAATTTTTAAAGGCATATGTTCATCAAATTTAATATTAGCACATTTATTTTTTAATGCGCCATGATTCGGCTGATTTAATACTATCTTTAAATACCACGTACGTGTTACTATTATAATTATTTTTTAAATATCATACATAATGGCTACATATCATTGCAAATGTTTCATTTAATTGCCATTTACAACGATGTATTAACATGCCTCCGTCAATAACATAATAGAGTTTTTCTACACTTTTTAAATTAATAGAAATTTTCGGAAATAACTCGTAAAATGTTGATTTTTTGTTTTTCTCAATTCACCATTTTTAAATACAGCAAGTAAATATAGTGCCAATTCGTAATTCATATAAGTTTTAAGTTCTTCGTCGGTTTATTTTAAACACAAATACGTTGAAACAGCACTAATGGGTCAACAGGAATAAACCCGTCATGAATTTTAATTTTGCTACTTTTCGCTAATAGAGAATATTTTCTTTTTCCTTGACAATTTTAATTCACGTAAATTTTGTCCCTCTGTTTTTTTCATTGCCTTCAAACCTGCTTCAAGAGCATCGTAACAATTTATCTTTTTATCTCCAGTAATTCCAGTAGCAAAAGACATAAGGGCATATGCATCAAAAAAAGGGCGGTATTGTTTGAAGAAATCCACTAATAATTTGACATCTGTATTATTTCTTTCTATTCTAGCATGTGTTAAATCAATATGTTAATGACTTTTGTTGAAAGACATGCCACAAATTTAAATTTTTTCTATGGCTTGAATAATATCTTTACTGTAAATAACTCCTCTGATCCATTTATACACAACACTTTCAGTGACACCAGGTTTAAAATGACCTCCTTCGACACTCATCTCTTTCATCAAAGTTTGCTCAATAGTCTGATCAATTGCAATGCCAGAAAAATAATTATCCGAACGCCTAGATGTGAAGTATCCTGCCGAAAATTTTTGAAACTCCGTCGAGTCCATTTTATGCTGTAACTTTTTCATATCTTAATTACTATTAAACTGGGAATAAGCCACAATTAAGTCAGAAAAAAATTTAATTATAAGAAGAATTTTTCACTATGTAACAAAAAAACAAAATTTGTTTAATTTACTGTTTGTATTTTGAGAACGATTTCCGACGTGGAAATTAAAACGTCAATAAACGTATTTTTATCTTTCATTGTGGCTTATTCCCAGTTTAGTAGTAATTAATTTACAATGCCACAAGAAAATAGCTTCAGAACAATATCTTTCATATCTTGTAGATAAATTTGAGAAGCCTTCGCATAGGGAAAAATGTCCTGATGCATGAAATAATGGAATCATTAGCTTATTACCTTACAAATGTAAATTCCAATTTCCCATACGGTCCGCAGTAATGAAGTCCTTCAATATTGTAACCATTCGAAAATAAGTAATCCATAGTTTTGAAGTTTTATTTTTATTTTCAAGCTCAAGTAGCTTATTTTCAAAAATTTTAGTAAGCGTTTGAAATCCGTGGTTTTCAGTTATTTCAGTGTAGTTGAACATTTCAAAAATCATAGAGTTATCTTCATCATTCAGTACATTTGCAAAACCTGTATTGTGTTCCATAAATTTTTAAAAAACAATTGTGATAACGCTTGCTGTAATAAAGTATGCGCACGTACAGCTCTAGTATGTGATCAATTGTATTTTCAGCATGATAAAAAGAGCTTCTTTAACGCACTTCCAGCCATAATATAACCAATGGATCCCACGTAAGACATAAGAGTATGAAAAGAGCCTAGTCTCACAACAACTAATACTTCATCAGATAAATGCACAGCAAAAGCAATATCCCGTGCTTTCATGTAAGAGGTTGATCGAGTGTTAAGATGCATGTTCTCATGTTCAATTCTTTAGCAATATCTACGGAACTTTTCATAGTTGTGTAAATTGTGTTATAATTGCTTGGAGCTGTAAAAGTTGCTGAAACTTCGTATAACGTGGCCTCTTTGTACGAAGCATAAGGAATGACATATTATTTATTATTTTTTAACAGCCAAATTTTCTGATGAAACATCACAGCCAAAGTTATATGAAGTGGCAATAAAAAAGATCTTGGTCGTACAGCTCATATGATTGCATGTGCTGTCGATTTACATTTCTTTTCATATCTCGGAATTGTTTCTGCATTATTTTTCTTATCTTTAAATATTATTTCAAATAGTAACAAATTTAAAGATGTTGGAATTTGAATTTATTCATCAACATCTTGAAGCATTTTGTCACTTGGCATATAACTTTCACTATCGTACACTTGGGCTCTTATATCTCTCCGAATAATTTCGCTCGCCGCTTTCAGTATATGAAATTCTTCTTCTTCTTTACTATTATATTTTTAATTGTACCAATTTTTTGTTAATACATCATAGTTCATTTTTTTTCAACATATAATGGTATTGGACCCAAATTTAGTTGAAATGCTAATATCCTAGTGAAAGCGTTCTATTAGTCGTTTTTTCAACCGGGATATACTCTGTAGTGATGACGTGTTTCAACTTTTGCATGGTAAATGGGCAATCATCATTATCTTCTATATACTTGTGTATTTGCTCCATTGCTGCATCTACCATCGAAATTCTCGGATTAATTTGCTTTTCAACACTACTGAGGTGAATTGAATTTTTCAGCAAATTATAACATTCCGAATGGTATTTTGCTGCAAGTGTCTGTAAGTCGGTTATACCAGAAATTCTTTTATGGATATCTCGATAATAATCAGTTTTCTGGACGGCTATAAAATTCGTGATGGATTCATTTAAAGTTTGAGTGTTGATGTATAAAATCTGCCTACGCCGAGCTTTATTTAATTTTGCTTCTTTTGTTTTATCAGCTTCTTGTCCGCAAATAAAACAGTATTTATCCCAATTGAAGTTATTGAAATTCATGCTACTTCGAAGTTTTTTTTTTTTCGTTAATGAGAGATTTTCACGGAACTTATTTTTATACATTCCAATATACTTTTTATTAATATATTTTTGTCGACAACTTGAATGAGCATAAAAAAATTCAGTTTATAGGTGAGGTAACAATCCATCTTGTCGTTCGGTTGAAGCAGCTTGTAAAGAGGTTACTCCTGTGCCAATTTTTATAATTTCACCTAAATTTAAATTTGTTTCGAAATATGAACCCAGGTGTATACATAGTATGCAGCTATTTTCATGAGCCATGCTGCTAGCCGTTGGTTTTTCCATTGTTCGAAATCTAAAAAAACTCAATATCTAATTAATTGCATTTGATTCATTATTATCATATATTTTTTTTATTGAAACTGATCTTTAATTTTTGATTTATTTATTATTTAATTAATTGAATAATGAACTGTAGTTATCAATCCAATAACTTACCAAATTAAGCAATACGAAATAATTTGTAATAGGTCAATATAAAAACGCCGTCTTCAATACACCTTCCAGTAGAAAAATATACAAGAATTTTTCACTAAAAAACCAAATTTTCACTGTTATAGAAGCACAATATTCACAGAACACGTATTACTTGCAACTAAACTAGCCGAAAAATTCCATTTCCATTGTTCATAGCAGTTGTCGCTCCGCTCTCCCCTCCACGTTTTTCTACCTGTTCGAGATCCCTACTGCTATTTTTATACACAGGTATGTTTGAAAAATGTTCCTTGTATGTTTACTCATGTAAGATTTAACATATAAATAAAAAAATACCGTTTAAAGTAAAAATATTTGGTCAAACTTTAATTTTTTATAATCATTTGTTTAAACAAAAAAAAAATTGAGCGCACAACAAAATTTTAAGTAAACATTGCAATTTCAAGTTTTAAAAACAATTATTTCACTATAACTCTAATCCGAGATTTTACGGTTTTGAATGCTCCAAGCACTCCACTATAATAATAAATGTATAAACATTTACAATAAAATTCGTCGGCGAGCATTCATTCTTCAGCTTCGTGTCGAGCTTAAAAGACAATTTAGAGTGGAAGTTATGTTGCTAGCAGTTCCGGTAAATTCCTGCAAAGGAATTTGCACAAACACATTTTGTGAATTATCAACCTGCATTTAAAAAGTATATATAGAAAATCGTGCCTTAATTACTGTTAAATTAAGTTACTGTTAATAAATTTAATTGTTTTTTTTTATTACTAGTGTATTTCGTGATATTGTATTATTTTATGTAACATACATTTTTAGTATTAGAGATAGAAATAACAAATAAAGAACCTAGTTTACATTTTAATACATACATTAAAGAATAATTTTGTTCTACCAGAATTAATTAAAACGCGTTTTTTCTGACGACTATGCATATTGTAAATACATTTGGCATTGCGTATCCAATACCTACGTTCATCTCATAGAATCTGAGAGTTGCTTCCAGTGACGTATCGATACTAATTTTACAATTGAAAATCATGACGTAGTAGCACGCGTTTCTGAAATCAGGACACACTTTGACTTTGATCAGTTGCAGCGTCACCCTTGAAACGCCTTTTATTTGCTTATATTTTATATTAGGAAAATCATACATTTTCTTTGCGTTGATGTTAGTGATAAATATATAATATGTTGAAAATATCTCTGATACTTTTTGTGTGTGTCCTGTTACGTAAATGTATTGGAAGCATCAATAGATCTGAATATTTTTTCCAGGAAGTGTCTGTCGGGGAAACTGCAGTATTAACATGTAAAAGTAGAAATGATAATTATAGTTTTGACTTTTGGATGCTGGATAATAATGCGATAATTGGTATTGCTAACCAAGGGTTTGATAATAAAACGTTTTCTTTGGAATGTGTTACAGGAGACTTAACTATTCGGGTAAGTGGGCATTATAGGCATATATAACTATTAGAAATCAAATATCAGATTTTTTTATAAAATACAATAAAAAAAATTTCTTTTTTTTTTAACATATCTAATAATTTTTTATATTCTACCGTTTTTGTTGAGAAAAGTGCGTCTAGCTTTTTGATTAATTTTCTCCATTCTCTTTTATTCTCGGCCATTTGTGTTGCTTCTTGGCCAGATTTGTCCTTATTTTGTAATATCTTTGTTTTGTCGCTGCTCCACTCTTTGACTGGTCTGCCTCTTTTGTTTTTTCCTGTGTAGCTTCCCACCGTGTTGTCATTTGCTTGTTACTGTCCAGTCACGTTAGTAGCCAAACAATGCCAATCTTTTCCCCTTTATTGTGTTTAACTAACGGTTTATTTTCATTCTGTTTCTTATTTCTGAGTCTGTCTGTACTTCTTACCCTTAGCGTTCTTCTGGGGTATTTCATATCTGCTGCTTATATCTACACTGGTGTCTGCTATTTAAAATTTTTAACATTTTTTTGTGTATTTTGAATCTTTTATATTTTTCTTGCGTTTTGTCTTGCATGTATTCTTTTCATAATTTATTCTTTTTTTGTTTTGATTTTTACCTTCTTATTTCACCATGATGTCAGTTTTTTTTTTCTATTATTAATTGTGGTCTCACATAATAGCTTTGCTTGTATTTATCACGGCATTTCTATATTTTTTCCATTCTTTTTGTATTATTTCGGTCATGTCTCCTTGTTTGTCCATTTCCTTCTCTAGCTTCTCCTTAAGGCTGATTTTCGTTGTTCCTTTCCTTAGTTTATGTATTTTATTTCTTTTCTTTTATTTCTTATTCTTTTCTTTTGTGTATTTTATGCCTATTTCTTTACTGTTAAATTTAGTTTTCAGTAAGTAGTGGTCACTGCCTATTTCATAACTTCTTCTTACCCTTACGTCTCTTATCCAGTTCCTCTCTGGTTTTTGCGCTTATTGTCAATAATTCATTGTTCGTTTCTTGATAAGACTTCTCTTGTAATCTTATGTACCTTTTTACGTCGGAAATATATATTCATGATCATTACGGTAATGTCTAAACAGAATTCAAGTAATAATTTTCTATTATTATTGATTATATCCTATTCATATAGTACGAAAATATCGTTTTATTTTTCTACTTCTTTTCCCACTTTAGCATTCATATCTTCTATGACAACTATTTTTGCTATACAATTGACAACTGTACAATTTGTCCCAAAACTCATTCGTTTCATTTTTGTTGCATCTTCATCAAGTCTTCATTAGTTAAACTTTTATGGAATTTTGCTTGATATCGCACAAAATCTGTTGCCGTGAACCTACTCAGTTCCGACTAGATTACCCAAGGTGGCTATCTCTATTCCTGCAAGCCTTCTCCTTTCCTACAATTAGATCAAAATTTAAATTAAGCTAGCATTAAATTTCTAATATTTATAATTCGGTTCTGTCTCGTCTTTCTAATTAAGCTTATAGACCAGAAAAGTGACGATTTTCTCAAGACATTCAGGTGTCTAACAAATGCTTTTGATACATTTGGGTATATCAATAAATAATAAACAAAATAGTTAAAAGATTAAACGTTATTTTTTACTTATAAATAATATATAAACGAAGTCAGATCACTATTTGACTTTAAATACTAAGGATGAAGACCGGTACAATGAAAAAGTGACACAATTTCACTAAAACAGCATAGAAAATCCAAATGAGAATTTGTAGTTATTTTGGTCAATTTCTTCAAAAGCTTCATTTTGATCAGCTACAAAAATCGATTTTTTGAAAATTAATAACTTTGCTAACGATGTAAAAAAACTTCACGTGAAAGTAGGGACAATATTACAAATATTGAGTTACAAAGATTTCTAAAAGTTTTACTTATTAGTTATTGCAAAATTGAAATTTTATCTCGGAAAGCTTTTATCTACAATAATATTATGCGTAAACTATTAGGTCTATATAAATTCTGAAGGGAAACTATATTGAAGGGAAAGGCTGCTACTATTAAATTAAACAATTGAACGATTAAAAGTTTACGTAAAATATTGTAAAATCGCTTTACAAAAGTACTGTGATTTTAAACTAATAAACATTTAACAAAACTCAGATTCATCAACATATAGGAAGTTTTCACTAATATTTCTATTAATTCGAAATGATATTCATGATAAATATATGATATAAATAATACATGATCCTGTGACCGTTAGAACCAGAGGTATATCTTTTATTTTTTCAAAATTCAACAGTGCTTTGTTTATAAACATTATTAAATTTAAAAAACATCATTTAAAAGATTAGAAGTTCAAGTTTTGACAACAAAAATTCAAAACGATGTCTTTAAAAATAAGCCGTCCAAGTAGAAAAGGTTTTGAAATGATAAAGCAACTTAATTATTCATGAATTATAATTATAAATTATATCTTTCAACAATAAATTTTACAAAAAATTCATTTTTTATTTGATAATCAAATCCATCCGTGTGAATTTTTCTTGAATTTTGCTTAATATTTTTACAATTATTTTTTCTTAAAAGCAAATATATTCTAAACAAATTAATTGGTATCAACTTTGTACATATAATTATAAATCAAAATTATGGAGTTATTTTTTATATACCTATTTAATTAACATACCAACTAATCCAAAATTATTGTCATCATAATGGGCTTTGAAGGACAGAGATACCCATAAGTACAGCACATGTCTATCATTATTTCAGATATACTTGTCAGTTTATATCAACTTTGACTTTTCAAGATTGAATAAACAAAATTATTATTAAAAATGGTTTTCACGGATGAAGAAAAGCGACCTATGTTCGAAATATATTTTAGAAATGGCCAAAGAATTAACAGAGAATGAGTTTAATCCAAACAAACAAACAAACGAAAAGGAGGAAGGCCACAAATGAAATGGTCAGATGACTTGAAGAAACACGCAGATGTCCAAAATTGGACAGCAAGGGCTGTATAGACAGGATAGATAGAGTTTAATCCAACCGAGATGATTTTGAAGATGTTGTTGAAGAAATCCTTCTTTACTTGTCAAAAAAAAAATGAATGTAAACAATAAGGCGGTGTATAACGATTTACAACACCCTCCCTCGTTAAAAAATTTTCAGGCATAAAAAATTCCTAAATATAGAAAAACCTATTCCAGGTAAGCCTTTTGTGAGGTCCATCACCTTGGTGTTCTTTAGAATTTATACTTATACTATAAATCTAAAATTTTCTTTTCTACATACTCAGTAACAAATCTATGCTTTAAATTCATACGCTTCACTCTATTGTTATTTCCTCAGTTTTTAATAAGTGCTAAACACTTTTTATATACACAAGCACATAAAGTTACTAGTTTAGCTTCCGTTACTGACAAAGTTATATAGTTTTGTTTTTAAGATGCCCATGTTACTACATTTTTGAATAATTTTATTATTATACCCAGTAACTAATTTATAATAAATTTGGTCACTTCCCCAACCAAAACCTACAAAACTTACTATATGCGTTGATTGAATATTCATTCAATCAACGCTATATGCTATTCACTTTTCCTACAATGTTAGACCCCCACATTATTAGACCCCTTTACATATCTCAATACTCTTATTAAATAAATCCATATGTCATCTAATTACTTGTCTTAGTATCTATAGAAATAATTAAGAGCGAAACTAATGTCAGGTCGACTACCTAACATGAGATACATGAAGCAACCTATTAATTTTTTCACAGGTTTATTCGTATTATTATCACGGCATATTAAATTCAATTTTGAATCTATTGGTATAGAGGTAGGATTACAAAAAACCATACCAAACTTTCATAAGATTTGTTTATCTTATTTGACTAATATGTAAAATACCTTTATTTCTATCATAGTTTATTTCTAAACCAAGAGAATATTTAAGTTTATCCTTATCCTCTAATTCAAACCTTATATCAATATATTTTATAAAACCATTATCAAGACCACATATTATTATATCGTATACCTGAATAAGAGATAAGTTATCACCTCTTCTGATATACTTATAAACAAAAAATAACAGACCTTATAACAAGTAAATATAAAAAAATTAATGGGAAAATCAATACCTTGGACAATCAATCTTCACATTTCTATTAAGGTATAAAAAAAATATAGTTAAAACTTTTAAAAAGTGTCATCAAAATTTATACAGTAGCATATCGTTTTCGACTAATCAGATAATCTTCAGTGCGTTCTTATGTAATTGAAGCTAACACTAAATTTGTATCTGTGACATCCATATATCATTTTACATTATGTAACAATAAAACACTGAATTTTTTAATACAGGAATAGCAGAACATAAAAGGGCTTTCAATAATAGAAAAACAGATTCTATATATGCACTTCACCTTCTAGATCATAATCATTTGTTTAATGACGAATTTAAAATTCTTCACATTCAAAATAAAGGCCTTAATCTATCTTTATTCGAATCTATAGAAATCAAAAAATTAAAAAATACAGATATAATTCTGAATAACCAACATAAGACAAACAGTTCTTCCATCCTGAACCTATTTCATTAAAGACTATAAAGTGTAAACGCATGCCAAAAATAGATCGCTTGAGAAAGCCGAAACTGCTGTAGTGATAAGAGTTTAAAATAAATTTTGTGGAAGTTTGAAAACAAAGTTTTCAGTGTTTTATTGTTATATAAAATGAATTTCCATGAAGTAACGGTCGAATCCATTAATTATTCAAATGTTTGACATTATTCCAAATTTAAATTATACTGTGACTCTAGGTCGATGACATTGTATCAAAAATTAATACTTGAGGAGCTACATGTCTCCTATTTCGATTTGAACACGTGGTTCTTGTCAGTTAAAACGACTCAGACTGGCTGAGGTGACAGACAATATAATTCAAAAAGACAGCTTAACATGACGAGGTATGTGTATGTTCAAAGACTAATGTAATTTTTAAAAACTATAAAATTTAGTTTGTTGT